ACAACTTTTATTTGAACAATTTTTATAAAAAATTACGTTTTTTACATTTTGTCAAATTTCTCGAATACGGACCATTTTAGGAAAATTTTGCATAAAACAAAAATTATAGATAATTATATTAGAAGTAACTTTTATTTGAAGAATTTTCTTCTCCAAACGTAAATAACAAATATATTCCATAAAATATAAAAATGACCACCTATAAAGTACCCCCCCAGATGTTCCGACTCTGCCCAAAATCTAATCAGCTCATTGGACGCTGAAACAAAGCTTAAGTTTAAAATTTGGTGTTTTTCTGTGAATCGGTTCATGAGTTATGCGTTATACAGACACACACACACACACACACACACACACACACACACACACACACACACACACACACACAGACACACACACACACAGACATCATCGCGAAAATAGTCAAAACGGATTCAGGGGACCTCAAAACGTAAAAATCCGTCGAAAACTCGAGGTCGAAAAAAATCATGATTCCTATACTTTCCTTATATCTGTATACAGATAGGAAAGTAAAAATTATTAATATGCTAACGATACTATGAAATTATCGGTCATTCCGCCCATATCTACAAACATCGTAATCTCTACAAGCGCCATATTTTATATGTCTGGTGGCGATGGATTTAAAAACAATCATCCCTAAATTGGTGTAGATATTGACCTACTTTTAGAAGAATTTGTAAAGTTGTCATCATATTTGGAGAACCCACCACTAAATTTTAAAGACATTATTGACCAGTAATGGGTTTATTATTTTAAGAGCCATAGATCTCCAAATTTTTTCAAAATTTGCTCTTATGTTTTTTACTTTCCTATCTGTATACAGATATAAGGAAAGTATAGGAATCATGATTTTTTTCGACCTCGAGTTTTCGACGGATTTTTACGTTTTGAGGTCCCCTGAATCCGTTTTGACTATTTTCGCGATGATGTCTGTGTGTGTGTGTGTCTGTGTGTGTGTCTGTATAACGCATAACTCATGAACCGATACACAGAAAAACACCAAATTTTAAACTTAAGCTTTGTTTCAGCGTCCAATGAGCTGATTAGATTTTGGGCAGAGTCGGAACATCTGGGGGGGTACTTTATAGGTGGTCATTTTTATATTTTATGGAATATATCTGTTATTTACGTTTGGAGAAGAAAATTCTTCAAATAAAAGTTACTTCTAATATAATTATCTATAATTTTTGTTTTATGCAAAATTTTTCTAAAATGGTCCGTATTCGAAAAATTTGACAAAATGTAAAAAAATATTTTTTTATAAAAATTGTTCAAATAAAAGTTGTTTGTAATATAATTCTCTATAATTTTTATCCTATACATAATTTCTCTAAAATGGACCGTACTCGAGATATTTGAGAAAATGTGTAAATTTCGAAATTTGAAGAAAACTAAAAACGGATAAGGAAAAAAAGATTAAATTTTAAACTTAAGTTTTATTTAGGCCTGACGTGAAATGATTAGATTTTGGACAAAGTCAGAACATCTGGGGCGTACTTTATGGGAAGCCGTTTTTATATTTTATGGAATATATCTGTTATTTATGTTTGGAGAAAAAAATTGTTCAAATAAAAGTTACTTCTAATATTATTATCTATAATTTTTGCCTTATGTCAAAATTTCCTGAAATGGTCCGCATTCGATAAATTTGACAAAATGTGCAAAATTCTGATTTTTATGAAAATTGTTGTACTAAAAGTTGTTTGCGATATCCATCTCTATAATTTTTGTTTATACATGATTTTTCTAAAATGGACCGTAATGGAAAAATTGTAGGAAAAGTGCTAAATTTTAATTTTTCAGTAGGTATTTTCGTTTTCAATGAATATCTATAGAAAAATGTTTCGAGGTAGATGTATATGGCAAATGTATCTATTTAGTTTATCCTCTAAACATTTATAGAGGTGCTGCAATAGGTTGTACAAAATAACTGGAAAAAGCCTATAATAACTAGATAGGAAAGTCATGTGTTGGACACATCAGATTTTTAGTCTAATGTTTGTAGCTTGGAGGAAAGATAGAAATTATCTTTCTATAGAAACAGAATCTGTACATACTAATGATTAAATTTAATTTTACTGAAATTTGCCAAGAATTTGCAAAAATTTTGCAAAAGGAAGGAAGAGTAGGAAACAGTTCAAAATATTTGTAACTTTAGAATAATTAATTTAGTACAATAGGAATTTGACATTCTTTTGTGAAGTTTAACTATTTTAATGTAAGCATTTTTTTGTTGATTTATGTATATTTTTTATATATTTATATTTGATTTATATAACAGGGGTAGTATTCTCGAATCACGAATACCGACATTCGCATACGTGTTTTACAATGTGTCTCACTTTGTTGAACGAAAACCAAGTGAGACAAATCATAAATCTCGCATGAGAATCTATAGGGACCGTGCGTCATGACTTTAACGCTAACTGGTGACAAAAATGTGAACTTTTTGGGGGGTATTTATTAATGTTTTATACGGCATTTATTGTTTAATAATTATTAATAAAATGAAGTCGAATTATTTTCGTAATATCAATATCGAAAAAACTTGTTGCATCCGTGGATGTACAAACACATCACTTTAGAAACCTGGATTTCATTCGATAGTAAAGAAATTTTATAAATTTCCACAGAGCACAATTATGCCTCACACCCAATGATATACATAATTACAAAGATTGCTTATCCATATGTAAATCAGACGACGAAAAGCATATTTCACTGGGCAAAGTTTTCTTTTTATCTAGCTTGTATCAATTTTGAGCACTTAGTTGTAAAGAAATCATTTACAGAACCGGTTTAGAAATTAGAATCTTTAGTGTTTTCTTGTCATTAAGATTTTTACATATTTAAATGACCATTTTATATAAATATAATTTTACAGATAATGGTTTATTCTGTTGATTAAAACTAATGTAGAATGTTATGAAATAAGAATATCCAATTTGACAAAAATATCACGGCCCTCTTTACAATTTATTAACTATTTCTCATTTATTATTAAAATAAACACATCATAAATAATTAGGCATTCCAAACTGAATGGCTACCAGTGGGTTTTGACGGGTTATGATATGGCAAAATTATGGCAACCCTGTAGGCCTGGTGATTTGACAAGGTCAATGAAATAGATAGTTACATAGATTGATCATCCATATTTTTCAAAATAAACATAAGCTTATGCCTTGAAGTAAAAATGTAAGCAATTATTTTTTTTTAAATATCTAAAGGCTAAAAATTGGTTTTAAAACACATTTTTGCTAAACCGATTCAAATTAATAAATTTTTGCCAGGCAATATGGCCGCTCGTAAAGGACCAGCTTTGAGCAATCTATATAACTATATATGTATCACTGGCCCTGTTAGTGACAACATGACAACAGGGTTGCCATATCTAAACTGTCATTACCCACTGGTAGTCATTTGGACAAGTTGTTGGAATGCCTAATACATTGCAATTACTGTCAAAAGAGATTGTAACAAACTTTAAAATATTAAAAATCCAGTGATTTTTTGTAAATTTTTTTAGTGACATTACCATTAAACATTATTCAGAATAATAGATAAGTGTCCAATTACAACTCTTACCAAAGTTGTTCATACCTCATATCAAAATTGTTTGCATTACCTTTTCAAAATTGTATTACATATTGCAATTATGTATTTTATGTAGAATTGTTTCTGAAATAGTAGTCTAAAATTATTTATATCCATCTGTTATAAAAATTGTTTAGATCTCTTAATATTATTTAACTACATGAAAACTCAGCTTTCCAAATACATAATGACATGTCTTGAAGTAAAACTTTAATTATTATCTTTTTCTAAAGATTAAAATGCTGAAATTTTATTTTAACACATTTGGGCTAGAACGGCTCTATTTAGTGAGCACTAGGAAAGGCACATTGCAACCAGCTTTTCATAATTTTTTTATAGTTGGGTGAGCAATCTATAATATATGTATCATTGAACATCTCATAAACGCCAGTGGATGAATGACATTTCGATTAACATAAAGCTAAAAAGATTTATAATTATTATTATCAATCTTTTTTATTCATTTACATTTTTTAAATGTTATTGTAATACTTTTAAATTCAGTGTTACTAAATACCTATATTTTAACATTGGATACACTTGTTTAAGGTACAACTTTACAATTTATTTTCACTTAGCCATTTAAATCTTTTTGCTTAAAATGTATATGCATGTCCAGATTTTAATAATGTTTCACATTTTACGTCATTTTGACCATGTACACGATTGTTTGGTACGGGCCGGTATCTATTTTTAACTATATTTAATATTTAAAAAAATACCCTTCATTATTTACTTGCAATGTTTACCCCATTTAATTCTAAAATTAAACACTAGAGAGGGCTAAGTTCGGCAGTAGTGCTGCCTCTATATTTCACGCACGGTCCCTATATTCGTGACTCGAGACATCCAAAGTTAGCGGTCAATATTACAGAATACCAGGTGGCGTGATTCTGTAAACACAAACAGAAGCGAATCAATAAATTATTTTTCAGTATTCTCTGTACTTACAGAAAAAATCCTACAGAGTTGGAATTATATGATTTAGTTCAAGTGTGAACCCACTTATTGTTAATTTTTATAAAAATAGGTACTCGTATGTTGACTTATTGAAAATGTTTTAATAATCGGGCATTAAAATTTGTTTTTGATGCTACAATATCTTTTTGTATATTTAGTAAGTATTTAATGAAAATAAATATTTTTTCTTCAAAAATTAAAACCTCCCGCTTTTCATTTCTGAAAATCTGGCAGCCCTATCCTTAAGTGAAGCTGGAAACACTAATAAAACCTACTCAGAGAACGAGATTTAGTTCAAATTATTTTTCATCCCTCGTAGGTCAAAGCACAATGTTTATATTCAGGCAACCCAACTAGCACTTCCCTATGAGGACTTGAGGATTGAGGTTATGTGTGGGTTATGTTCATAGTAGTTGTAATGTCAAATTTGATTTGACCATCCACATCAAGATAACCAAGAACCCAAATTTGTTTCGAAATATTATAAATTGAGATCATGAAACTTAATATAAAAATATCAGAGAGCATTACGAAAGTATGTTTACCAAATTGTTTTTAATTCTAACAAAATAAACCTCTATTTACATTTTTAGAGAATTTCAAACTTAACAGACAGCTGTTCAGGAAAACTTTATGGAATAATCACTAAAGACAACTTAGTTATTGTGGCATTACACGTAAGTCAAAATGATTTTGATTTAACGAATTCTTTACCATCTGGAATTGAATTTTGTGGAATACTTAGTGTAGGAAGTGAAAATCAGCACCACAATGTTATTCCAAGAACTGTCTTAATAAAACATGTTTTTGGAAATGATGGTCTTAGCGCCTTTATTGAAGAAAATGGAAATTATAAGGCAACTAGTTACATTATCATTACAGAGCAGGAGATTAATAACACATTTTTATACATAAGGTTAAAAGGTACTATTCATTTTAACACATAAAAGTATAAGTTCTGTTATGTGGTAAATTTTTAGGCGAAATTCCCCTTAAATCAGAATTTACTGCTTCAGCTCTTAAGGAAACTTTCCAAAATGTACAAAAAACTGCTTCTTTGGAATTAGTCTTTAGTCTCCTGAAGTCAAATATATTTATTTTGGATAATGAGACTATAGGCATTGACAGTGATATCAGTTTAAATGAATTCTGTGAAGAGTCTAATAGTTTTAATGAAGAAATAAACAAAAAGAAAAAAGTAATAAATGTAAAACCCAGAATTTTAGAATTTAACTTGTTGCAACAACTTACTAAAAATAATTCTAGTGAGGTAATCAAGGAACATGCCCCTATAGGTATTTTAGACAAACGTAAGTAATTTTAATATTTAGAATTTTGTTTTATTAATTGATTTTATTTTTTTAGATCCTTTTAAGGTTATTGATACATTACTTCAAATAGATTCACTTGCTGTTGTCAAGGCAGACACTAAAATTCAAAACTTGTACACTACTCTACTACAAAGCATAAATAAACTATTGAAATTATATGAGATCAAGTTTCTAGACTTTGTAAACATTAATAAATTAACGAAAAATTTGGTTTATGAAATATTTCATTTTTATCCGGAGGAATGTCAGCATTTTCTGACATTTTTGTATGCTAAAGATCAATCTGAGGCTGAACTAAGTAAGTATTAATTTATGATATACAAATGATAAAAAAATCACTGTAAAAATTGAACTACTTCCTTTCTTTGTTATCTCGTTCATATAAACAGATAATCTTGTTTATTTTTTTGTTGCCAATATGAGACTGGAATACTCTTTAAAGGAAGATACCATCCCACAATTGATGCGATTGAAAATTTGAAATTGCATAGTTTTTTATATGTCGAGATGTTCAGAAGTACAATCTGCTCTGCTACAGCATGATTTCATGTTGTCAAAAATGTCATTTTATATTGACAAATTTATAAAAACTGTTCATAGGTTTATCTAACAGTGGCAGTGGTGGAACAAAATCTCAAAACAAAAAAATATGCTTTATAATGTTAAATTATGCATTTAATAATAATACTTTATTAATCATTTTAGATCATATACATGAGGATAAGTCATTTACATGTAAAGATGTACAATAATGTACATTTACAAAACACATAAAATCTAACCAACACATTTAAATATACAATTTAACAATAAATACACAAAATTAAAATTAGGCCTGATATGCTTGAAAACACCCATATGACATAGGCTGTACCTTGTACTACAAAACTACAGGAGACATTCATGAATGCTATAGGGGCATTTTTGGGGTAAATAGCTTTTTAATTTGCATTTAAATGAGCACAGACTTATTAATTTTTTTTAGAGAGGTAGGTAGATAATTGAATAACCTTATTCTACAGTAGTATGAACTTTTTTCAAACATGGTTAAAACATGAGGGGGTATGCATAGTAAATTGCCACTAGGAGTACTATAATTATGGTTGTCTGAGTTACGGGTTTTAACGTATATAGCACATATGAGAATATATATTGCTGGAAAAGTCAGTATATTATATCTTTTAAAAAGATCTCTACAGGTACTTCTAGCATCTAGGTTAAAAATTAATCTTATTAGTCTTTTTTGACAAACAAAGACTCTTAAAGTACCGGTTGCATTTCCCCAAAGCAATATGTTGTAAGCTAAATGTGAATATGCCATCGCATAGTAAACTTGAAGAAGCTGTTTGGTGTCACAACATATTTTTTAATTGGAGAATTGCATAGTCCGCACTGTTTAATTTTTTGCAAACGGAGTGTCTGTATTGGGACTCCAGCTCATATCTGAATCTATAAGAACTCCTAGGAATTTTGTTTTCATAGACAGTGGGATAAAATCATTTTTATTAAAAAATCTGTACTTATTCTTGATCTAGAATGGAACTGAAAGAGTACTGTTTTGTTGGATTTAACAATTAATGCATTTCTTTTACACCATGCAGTAAATTCTCTAGCAACAAGAGACAATCTGGAATGAAGTTCTTCAGCAACATTGGTATCATCTTCATATATTAAAATGTGTTCGGATGAAATGAAGTTAGGCAAGTCGTTTATGTAAAGAAGAAATATGAGTGGACCCAAAACTGATCCCTGAGGAACACCGCGATTCATGTCCTTTGTCTGATAAGCAACCATTGATTATAACGGACATTTGATAAGAATCTATATAGGAATTAATCCATTGCAAAAATTTACCCCTAAAACCTAAAGCACTTAATTTTCCAATAATAATTGAGATATCAATGGTATCCAAAGCTTTAGATAGATCAAAAAAGAGCGCACCCACTAACCTTTTTCTATCCAGCTGATTGTGGACATAATTAAAAAAGGCAGTAGTAGCATTTTCTTTGACCTATCAGGAAGAAACCGATGTTGATCTGTAACAATTTTAAATTTAAATAAAAATGATAACATTTTTTTATATATACATTTTTCAAAAATTTTACAGATAACAGTATGCACTGTGATAGGTCTATAATTTTCAAGAGCCGTTGAATTAACCTTTTTTAAAAATAGGTGATACTATACCAGTTTTAAGTTCTTTGGGGAATATGCCATTTTTTACAGACATTGATTAGATATGCAATTGTGTCTGATATATAATGTGATGTTTGTTTATTTTCAAACAAGTTTATTTGTAAATAATTTATTTAAACACTATTTATTTATAACACTATTATTTTAATTTATATATACTTCGAATGTCTTTAAACTGATCACTATTTATATTCACCACTGTCTATCTACTATTTATCTTCACTGTCCATATACTAACTGATGATGATGGCTCATCCACCATTATTTATATACAAATTTCTAAAATTTGGTGGCGTCGAGAAGCTTCTCCACCAAACCAGAAATATTTCGAACAGTCCAGAAATATTATCTCGTCCTTTCTCGAACATCATCGAAATCACCTCCGCCATAGTCGTCCCATAGGTTTGGTCTTAAGGGGTTTAATTATGTATAATAATCGGACAAGTTGAGCCTTAAAGGCCAAATAAGACAGAGAGGGACTTGTAGGGTTAGAGCATGACTGAATAATGAAATGGCTCACATAACATTGCCCCCTCCTTAAGAGATAGTTTCTCCTGGAACTCTTACGAAACTAAACTGGAATGGTTGTACTTGCAACTGAATCCTCTTTTACAATTTCCAGTTGCATGGAAGTAACAAGGGACTGTCTTCGCTGTAACCTGGGCACTGGGCGAATGGCTGCAGACCAGTATCTGAACTCCGGTATCTTGAAAGATTACTTCCACCATGTTCCTAATGATCCTCCAATCCAGCTGATTTCCTTCTATCTTCGGTGGTACGTACAAAGCCCAAGAAAACTTCTTATTTGGTGTTTGTCCTTTGGTTGTGGCCACTCTTTGATAGAAGCTACTTTTTCCTTATCTACAGCCATGCCCTCCTTACTGACTACATGACCCAGGTAATTGACTTTAGTTTGAAATAGCTGGCATTTCTTGGGGTTTAGCATCAGTTGAGCAGCTTGAAGTCTTTTAAAAACATCTTCTAAGTTCTTAAGATGTTCATCAAATGTTTTCCCCAAGACTATTATGTCGTCTAAATAAACCAGGCATGTTTTCCAGGATAACCCTCTCAATACATTTTCCATAAGTCTTTCAAATGTCGCGGGGGCATTACATAATCCAAATGGCATAACATTGAATTGCCACAATCCAGATCCGGTGGTAAAAGATGTCTTTTCTTTGTCTACTGGGTCCATTTCCACCTGCCAGTTCCAGATTTTAAGTCTAAGGTAGAGAATAGTTTACTTCCGGCCAATGTGTCCAAGGTATCGTCGATACGAGGCAGAGGGTAACTGTCTTTCTTGGTAACATTGTTCAACTGACGGTAATCCACACAGAACCTCGTAGTTCCATCCTTTTTCTGGACCAAAACTACCGGAGAGACCCATGGGCTGGTAGAAGGTTCTATCGCCCTGTCTTCCTTCATTTCCTGAACAATCCTTTCAGCTTCCTCTCTCTTGGCCTTTGGTAATCTTCGAGCCGATTGACGAATCGGCCTGGCGTCACCAGTGTCAATTTTGTGTTTTACAACAGAAGTTCTTCCTGTTTTTCCTCCTTTTGGTACAAAAATGTCACGATATCGTCCAAGAAATTCCTTTATTTTCTTCTTCTCTGATTGATTCAGAGATTGACCAGCAACTGCAATCATTTGCTCGAATTTGTCGTTGGAATTATCAGAAGTTGTTGTCTGACGAATTATGGAAGTTACTGGTACACAAGTTCCGATTCTGGTCTCTTTCTTGATGGTAATCGGGTGATCATTAACGTTTATGAGACGGACTGGAATTTCTTTAGCAGACGTGACCAACCCCTTTCCGATCAGAATGCCTCGTCCAACCTCTGCATCGTGGTTCCAAGGTTCCATCATCACAGGTGTTCCTTCTTCCATCGTTTCTTGAAGCCGTGCTACTATAACGGTTTCACTTCTGCCAGGTACCACCGTATCCTCCTGTACAGCAACTGGCACGGTACTGTCCCCATATGGATGTAGGAATACCTCTTCGGCACCAACTTTGATCACTCTGTTTTTAAAGTCCAACTGGAAACCATGTAAGTTCATTACATCCATTCCAAGAATAAGATCTTCTTCGATATCAGCGACAATAACAGTGTGAGTGAACTTTTGTGTACCAATTCCCAATTGAACCTGGATTTCCCCATGGATGTTGGCACTTTCACCTGTGGCAGTCCGTAGTCGCAATCTTGTTGGTAGAAGTTTCTTACGGTTATTTATAGTTGTTGGTCGTATAATGGTCCTAGTTGCTCCAGTATCCACCAACAGTGTATACTTTTTACCATTTACTTGGCCGTCTACGTATACACTATCATCGCGACATTTCAAAGAGGCTATCAGTATGAGAGGGTCTTTGGAACGGTTTCGGGTCGAAGCTGCCCCCTCTAGGCCGACCCGCTCTAGTTTTCCTGCGGCGTGTTGTCTTGATTCGTTGTGACCTTTGGACGTTTGCATGAACTGCGTACATGTCCTAGTTCACCACAATTCCAGCACCTGATAGTCTTCGTCTTATTCTTTCTGTCAGTAAGGCTCTTTATCATATTCACCAGTTGGTCGAGTTTACCTTCCTCTTCTTCTTCTCTTACAGTCCTTACTTTACTGTATCCACCAGAAGCCTGCGTAGCTGCCTCATATTCTAAAGCAGCGGACAAGACATCGACCAATGTTTTGTGGCGAGCTAAGCGGAGTGTTTTCTGCATCTCATGGTCACGGAGTCCATCAACAAATGTTTGGACTGCCAAACATTCCATCATGTTTTCCGGAGCTGATGGATAGGCAAATCGCACCAACCTGGCAATATCTACTTCATATTCCTGAAGAGTCTCGTCTCGTTTCTGTTTACGATTCTTCAACTGTGACTGGTATAAATGCTCCAAGTGTTCGTGGCCATATCTCATATTTAGTCTCTTTTTGAGTTGTTCAAAATCATCTGTCTCTTCCACGGGTATAGTCTGAAGGATATCCAAAGCGTCTCCTCGAAGGGCGATGGTCAAATTTAGTGCCTTCTCTCGTTCAGACCACTCGTTTGTTCTGGCAGCTGTTTCGAACTGCTTAAGATAGTTCGTCCATGACATCTTTCCGTCGAAAGTT